CCCGCCCGCTTATTTATTTAATTTTTGAGACGTATTAACAAGTCTTCCGTGTTGACAGGTGGGAAAGGAAGGGGGGCGCGACACCCCCGAACTCGCCCAAAGCGCTGCGAGGGTGAGGACTTGGCTCCGCTGCGCGGCGTCCGAGCGCCCGGGGACTCGCCGACCCGAGGATGCCTGTCGGGAGGGGTGTGTGTGGATGAGGACAACCCCCCGCCGTCACCTCCGCCCCACGAGGGTCTCCCCTCCCCGAGGGGCAGGTCCCGAGTGCGGGAGTATCTCCCGCCTGCCCGCGAGGCCGCGGCGCGGGGTAGCCCCGGGTGAGGGGCCGGGGGCCGCAGCAGCATTCTCCGCTCCTCTCCCCGCCCGAAGCGGCGCGGCAGGAGGCTCCCGGCCGGGGGCGGTGGTTGCGGGGGGAGGACCGAGGCTGGAAAGGTGCGTGCTCGGATTGCCGGAGCGCCGGTCTCGACCCGTGCGTACCGACATGAAGCTGCCATTTGTGACCAGCGTGTAAGTAGCAAGAATCATTTAGGGGGAAAGGGAAAAAAAAAAAGAGAAAAATAAATTTTAAAAGGGAAAATATACTCTGTAGCACTTATAAGACGCTCCTGAATTATTTTAGGAGCATCTCTTAAAAGATTCAATTAAGGCAGCTGCTCCTTCGCCTTGCTCAGTAAGATAACCTTCAGCCCTGAGTTATTATGTCCATAAATATCATTTGACTTGGAAAAAGTCTGGCAAATTTATAAATTCAAATCAGTGTTCTTTCCAGACCCATCTTCCTGTCCTAAGGATCTCTTTGTAGCTGTGAAATGGATAGTTTGCTACACAGAGCAAGTCTGCTGTTAACCGTTATAGAACTAATGCTGTGTTAAAATGCAGTGTATAAATAAACTATACATATATTAGTGGCAGGGGAAAAACACTACTCTCAGACGTGCCAACTTTCTGTGTGAGAGCGACAGACAGACGAAATAAAGGATATGTTTACAAAATGGGCTTTGCTTTCTGCATGAGGGCTTCAGATTGGCTGATGAAAATTGGCGTATTTGGCTAAGTCACATATTTGGAGAAGTTCCCTATAAAAGCAGCACAATATTTAAAGTTTAACAAACAGCAGCATAAGCCCCTGAGCTATCAGGAGACCTCGTTTGACTGTAACTCGAGTTCTCTGCTTTCCTCTCCTTATTCTATAGCCTTCTGCCAAACCTTTAAGACGTCTCAGAATGTCCAGCGATTTTTCCACGCCAGTTCAGCTAATTGGAAGGGGGGAGGGGGGGGGAAGGGTCATTGCAATTATGTAATGGCTCCCTCTAGCGTGCTAGAGATACTGCTGCATCTGGGGTATATACTTCGTGTATGCATCCCATGGTGTATAAATATGCACACAAACTGTGGGGTAGACACTCTGCCTAAATGTGTACACAGATGGTAACTCTAGTTTCCTTTCAGAGCAGGAGAGCACCAGCAGGAATAAAAAAAAAATGTTTTGTCTTAAGGTGGCATATACAATGTAATATATTTCTGACAATATTTCTCATGGTTTATTTCGTTAAAAAAAAACCCCAAACAACTCATAACCCAGGATGAATTTGACCTTTTTCTTTGAGGAGGCTAGTGTCTCCATCACTTTTTTTCTCCACCCTAGTGAATACCTTTTTTTTTTTTAATATATGACTCAGCATTACACAATAAATACTCTGACTCCACAATGAAGTCAATACATTTGAGGGGACTCTGCAGTTTGTAAAACAAGTACTCAGGACTCTGAATTAAGAAAAAAACTGTATAACCCTTTGTATAAGTAACTGGAGTCTTTGCTTGTAAAATCTGCTTTTTTATCAAACATCTTGCAGCTTACAACATCCCATTGACACCAACAGCATGCATGGAATACTTAGAGGAAAAATAAAATCTGAAGCACTAGCAATGGATCTTCAAACCTATGACTGACTGCCAGGTGATGATGATAAATGAAACTCCTATGCTTTGCTCTACAAGTCACTGTGGTTTTTGCTGTTAACTTCAGCAGAGCAGCATTTTAGTACTCATTTTTACATATGGCTGATTATTAGCTATTTCTAATGATTTCTTGGAAATCATATCATCTTGGCATCTTTAAAAATTGTAGCTCTTAAAGCCAGTAGAGACTTAGGTGCCTTCCTGGAAAGAGCCACGTTAAAAAAATCTGCCTGCATATGAATATATGCCTCTGTCAGGCCGATGGTTGTTACATCAGACAGTTTGTAACAACAAAATGGCATTTATTGATTTTAATCCACCTGTGCAAATAATGAATATTTTATTTATACCATGATTTTACAGTATATCTTAAATACTTTTTCTGTCAAATTTGTAGCACTACGTATTTGGTAGCTTAGACTGACATCATAATTTTATATATATTCATAGTCAAAAATGAAATGTATGAAGGAAATGCAAATGCATGCCAATAATACCTATGTGCTGTGCCATGTCACTATATATTGAATATATAGTGTATATTTATTGCTGAAAAAGTGAAACAAAATAAAAACAAAATTAAAAGTGCTTATTAACAGCTTGGTGTGAAAGCTGGACTGTGGAGAGACTAATACATAGACAAAATGCAAATCTTTAATAGCAGAAATACACAGAAGGCTTACACTATCTGACAATCAAGAAAAACACATTAAATACTCTGTATAGGAGAAGTTCAACAGTGAAGCAAAGTCCAATATAACAGCCCTAGCAATTCATTATATATGAAGCAGTTAAATTATGCTTTGGAATACTACTTTTCAATACTTAAATGTTTGT